AACATACTTAGTGGATGAGATATGCACAACACCTTGATTTCTGACCTGTGTTTTTGTATTTTGATTTATTTTACTTACCGTACTACTGCCAAAACTTCATCTGACTCAAGCAATTTTTATGCATTTTTAAGCTTCATTAACATGTTAATGTTAAATTCAAATACTATGCAATACATACAATATCCATATCAAATAAAAATGTATAAAACCTTTTGACTACATTTTGTATCTGACAGGGTTCCCCCACCTCTCGGATTCTGAGTGTAACCCTATGAGAGATGGCCAAAACGCCGCTGCATGAACCATTTGCTGTATTTTTTGACCCCACTAGATGGTGCTCTTGGCTTGCTTTGGGCATGCTTTGAGCTCTTTTTTGAACAGAGAGCACCATCTAGTGGGGTCAAAAATGCAACGAATGGTTCATGAAGCATAGTTTTGTATTAAACATACTGTGTGTCAAAAGCTTCACTAACATTTCACTGCCAAAACATCTAAAGTTGATATAGCAACTTTTAAAAGGGTATGTTTTACAATGTTGTTACACAACGTCATAGTTAATATGTTTGCTAGTTTTCCATATTATGTGTGCCTTTTTGTTAACATGGTTTGAAGCCTTGGTACTGCAACTAATTTTTTAACCACCTTTGTTTTTAGTTTTTTTTCCTGACATAAAGAAATTGGTACTGTACTTCTTCAGGAGATGGGAAATTGGGCAGCCCTCTGTGACTGGGCCAACCCAAAAGTACTGCTAATTGGTGGTACTGTAGCCTTACTGTGGAGTCTCGCTAGTTAGCTACCCTTCTGAAAGTTCTCCCTGTCTGATTAAATGCTTCTCCTCTGATCCTCATTCTTTGGTTTTGGTTTCTTGGCTCCTGAACTCTCACTACTTCCTAATTTTTCCTCTACTTCACGCATTGCAGCATCTTTGTCTCAAATTTCACCACAGTCGCGTGAATCACACCATCCCACTTATCACCCAGTGCTTCAGGTTAGCTCTGCACGGATCTAGCCTAGTATGCTCTGTCAGTACTCAGCATTTCATCTTGGAGTGCTACTCCACATATGAATGATGATAGTTTTTTTTTTTTAATCCCATGGGCCACACTAACAAGGAACACTTCTCTTACACTATTCACATTTTTATTCAGTCATTTATCAATGCCAACTATGTCTCCAGAAATTCCTTGCAAGTTAACGGTGGTGTATCTTAGGGTGTAGTCACACTAGGCTATCCGTGCTGTGCCTAAGCATGTTTGACTAGTCCAGTTTGTTTGACTTGTGCGATCGTTCCATGACCTGCCCGCTTGATGTAGTGGGCTTGGGCATGGTTCAGTTAGCCTCGGTACGGTACACATCTAGTTTGATCGCTAACCATACCCAAGCACAGAATACAGACATGACATCAATGATGCTACTGCCACATGCATGCACACATGTACACTATCCATGTTTCTCAGTATGTGTACTTGACTGTACTTGTGTTCTCGTGTACCCGTTTCACGTCATCATTCATTGCTGAAGACCCGTTCCCATACTAAGAACAGAAGTACAGATGATGGTAAAAATCCATGGATGTCATTCTTGCCCTGCCTCAAATATCAATGATAGATTGGTTGCACTGTTGCCAAAGGAAACCAACCCCATGATTCATTGTGGCCCAAGTTCATTCTCAGGAGGCGAGTTAGCAAGACCGGCCTTGTAAGATCTTTGCGTTCCTAGTATTGAGAAACACCCTACATGTAAACTGGGTAAATCTACAACAGGTCTGTACTGTATGTCATCATATCCAAAATGTCTCCAAATAAGCCACAAAATAAGGACATTAATCATGAACTCCATTGGGCTGTGCAACTGGGTTTTTCCTCATTTTCTTCAACACTAAAAAGTAGTACACAGTGATGAAAAAAAGCGTGCTTGAACCCGAAACTTTAATCGCAATGTGAGCGCAGAGCAGCGGGGGAGTGGGGAGGGAGGAGTATCGTACCTAGGCACAGCACAATGCATCTGGCTAAGTGTAGCTACGTCTTAACAGTTCCCATTATGTGGCTCATCCTATCAATGCACATGGTAAAATCAAGACTTATGCATTATCATTAGAGAATGTTTTTTAGTAGATCTGATCTTCATTTAAGAGCTTAGTCATAAAAAGTGCAGTGCTTAGCATTTCAGGATGTGCTTCTCGGAAGTTACCTTTTTTAAGCTGAAACCTTCGTCTTGGGGAGGAATAAATTGTGTCAATGATGGTGTAACACAGGAACTTCTTCAAGGTACTCTGTAGTGTGTTGAGCTGTGTTATGCTGTCCACTGTAAAAACAAACTTGCTGGCAGGAGAGGAAGCGATGAGCTCCAGCTGGCTGTTGTTGGTGTCCTGCATGCCCACAGCATATACGGTCACCCCTGAGAGTCTCAGATTAGAGGCTGCTTTGTCCACTTCATCCTGGCTCGGTCCACGCATAACGACGATGGCTAGCTGCTGCACACCATCTTTCTTGCGGCTGCCGGCTTTGGGGGTGAACATGTTGCTTCTAGCGTATTCCAGAGCACGCCCCACGTTTGAAGCCGTGCTGCCGTGGTAGGGCATAACCTTGATGTACTGCAAGATGTCCTCCTTCTCATTAAAGGTGGACAGGGAGACCAGATCCTTGGGAGTGTTGCCGTACCCAAGGATACCCACCCTTACTTCGCTGGAGCTTACGTTAAGACCACCAACTATCTGATGGATGAAGCTGCGCACATCATTGAATTCCTTTTTGTCCCTCCCAAACTCCACAATGAACACAATATCAGCCAGCCTAGCAGAGCTGCACTCTGTTAAAAACAAACAACAACAGCACAACACAAAGTCAACTCATATTAGTTGGAAATCAGAAATTATGCATGAGAATGAAGCTATTATTTTACCTGAAGCAGTCTGTAATTTCACAAGTGTCTCCTTGATCTCTATGGTCCTCTTTAATTCCAATGGCAGGTTTGGTCGCGTCATCAAATACATATTCGAATCTGTGGAAATGGCCTTCAGGGTTTGTTCATTAGAGTTGTCAAACCCAATAGAAATGACAGTCACTCCCTTATCCTTGAGAGTTTTTACTTCCCTATCAAATTTGTCTTGAAACTTCCCTGTGCTGATGACCACAAGAAACATCCCCTCCCTCTCTCTCAACACTCCACCCACCCTCGGCATGAAAAAATTATCACTGACATATGTCAGGGCATTGCTTATGTTGCTGGTTGAGGAACGTAGTGGCCGCAGCTGGCTCTTCAAAAACTTGCCAAATTCTTCTAGGGAATTCAAGGGGAAATCAGATCTCGGTTTATCACTGAACTGCACCAATGCAATGTGGTGGTCCGCAATGCCTGTGAGTGAGTTCACCAGTCGGGTCAAGAGCATTCGTGCTTGCTGATATTGTTGGGGTGACATCGTGCTGTCCATCAGGAAGACAATATCTGTACACCTTGGGGCAAGGGCTGTTCAGTATTTTAGAGAGGAACAAAATGGGTTTCAATATAGATAATAAGAGAGGTGGATAGTTCAGGTGCAGAACGGAAAAAACAGACCAAGATTTTGTTTCAACCAACCAGTTGAATATAAAGAGTCTCAGTCACAAAATCTTGGTCTGAATTTTTACTTTCAGGACCTGAATTATCCACCTCTGGATAAAATACATTTTATTAATTAAACATAAATGTCCATGAACTAAACAAAAACATGTACTTATTGACAGACCATGATGGAATGCTTGCTTCACTAAATATTAGTGGATGAAAATAGTTTTGAGGTTTAGCATCACTTCGTATTACGCTAAAAAACCAGCAGCGGACAAGCTCCACCTACAGTAACAATACTGATTCAGTAGAATGCAGGTAAGCTCATTATTAGCATAACAAACATAACTATAAAGAAGGCAGCTGCAAACGACAGCCATTCACCTTCCATGAGGTACTCCACGGAGCGGCACACGACTTGCAGGAGTTTGTCCTTCATCATCGTCAGGCTGCCGTAACTTTGGGCACTTAGTAAGAAGTGTTCATGGGGGCTGTTGGAGATTTTCTGTAGCTCTTTGGTGTCTGTCACGCCCACAGTTACGACGTAGATGAATGCTCCTTGCCTCCTGAGATCGCTAGCAATGTCATCTGCCTTGTCTTCAGAGCTCCTGTCTGTGACGACAATGACGATCTGTGGCACCACCGTAGGGCTCCGATTTCCTGCTGCCCTACCCATATAGCGAGTTTTGATGAGTTGCAGTGCCTTCCCAATGTTGGCACTCTCTGCTCTTTTACTTAGCCTGTCCAGGTTCTCTAAGAGTGTAGTCTGATCTCTGTTATCCTTCAGCAAGAACTCCTGCTGGGGGTCGTCACCAATCTGCAGGAGTCCCACTTGCACCCTGTTTGGACCGATTTCAAGGCTTTCCACAAAGCCTCTAAGAAAATTCTTCATGTCCTGGAAATCAGCGGGACTGGAGTTTGGTGAGGTACCCACCAGGAACATAATGTCGGCCACATTGGCTGTTGCACATTCTGGAAGAGAGAAGGTTTTTTTGGGCTCAGAACAAATTCATTGTTCATGTTTTTTTCAAATACAGTAATAATATTATTAATACATGATGAACTGTAACCTCGGGAACTGAGGGTTTGGTATATTTTAGTCCTGGAAAACTAGCTTAATGTTTTTGTTCCAGTTAAACCCTTAATCACATAAATAAGTTATTACACACAAAATGACTTAAACAGTCTATTTTTAAAGGCCTAGAATGACTGAAGGATTTCAAAGAGCTATGATTCCTACTTTGGTAGAAAAAAAACACTTTTGATTTCCCGGGTTATTGTATATTTTGTAATACGCACAGATATCCATGAGAAGATCCAGACATCAAAGTTAGACTGATGTCACCTGACTAAACACATGGTCATAGGCTTGAGTATGTACAGCCGTGATGAGAATGGACGTCCCCCAAGTCAGCGCCCTTTACCTTGCAGCACCTGGACAACATGGCGAGCGGCCTCCCCGACAGTGGTGCAGAGCACCTGGGCGATATCATGCGAGATGCCCTGCAGCGCGGCGAAATCATACACATTGTAGACATGCTTGCTCACGGGCATGCTGGCAATGTCATGCAGCTCCTCTAGCTCGGCGTCCTTAATCCCAACAGCGTACAACGTGATGCCCCTTCTCTTGACCGTGTCAGCTGCCTGCTTGACGTCATCCTGGGACTTCCCGTCAGTAATGACCATCGCAAACTGGGGAACCCCCAAGTGAGCCCGACTGCCGGCCTCTGCCGTAAAGAGTGTGGTCAGCATGAACTCCAGGCTCAGCCTTGTGAAAGTGCCACCTGCTCTGTAATGCATGCTTCTGATGTGATTCAAGACCTGCTCCTTTTCTTGGTAGGTATTAAGGAGGAATTCTAGGTGTGGGCTTGTGCTGTATTGGACAAGCCCAACCCGGACTTGATCTGAGCTCACATCAAAGCTGCCCAGCAAAGTGAGAAGAAACTGCTGGACCTTCTTGAAGTTGCCCAGCCCAATACTCGATGACCCATCGACCAGGAACACAACATCAGCCACCGCTTCTTGCGTGCATACTGCAAGGGGACATCCACCACAGGTTAGGACACTTTCTTCTACTGTCACTATCATAAGTTGAACGCCACCTACCTGTTTGCTGAGCACTGCTGAACACCAGACAGGACGCGATGATCACAACAGACAGGACTCTCCGCATTGTTGCCATGCTGCCAGAGTCACTCTTCCTGAAGTACAAACATGAACAGAAACAGAAAATCAAACCCTGGTCTCCAGAAGTGTGAAAGCCAGAGTGCTAACCAAAACACCAATGTCTCACCCCTTTCTGCTTAAATGCTTATCTTATATATAAAACTACTGAAAAAGGTACACAGTAATGCCAGATGTCTTACTGGGGATAAAAGGCCTTTAGCTCTGTGCCATCCAATGGAGCTTCTGATGAGAAGATCACAGAACGTTGAGACTCTCGGCGCTTTGCAACATCTCAGAGGAAACACGCCACCAAACCCGAACATGTTTTTTCAAGCTCCCCTTCCGTACCCTCTTGTGAGTTGTGGAACCAGTCAAGTGCTTCTGAAACCAACTGATTGATCGGTGTCTGCAAGGACTATGCATGGAAATAGGGACGCGCCACAAAGCCATGGCAGCCTCACAGCGTAGGCGGATGCAAAGGTCAGGCATTGTTCTCCAGATGGGGCAAGCCCCAACCCTTTATGGTGAGTTCTGAAAAACCACACAGGCAGGTTTTAGCTCCGGCAAGGAGAAAAACATGAAAACCCAAACCATGTGGCCACTAAGGATCCCCAGAACCACTTTTCATGTTCTTTTCCATGTGGTTTAAAGGCATTTTATGGATGTTTTTATGATGTTTTCTTAATTTTTACTTGTTTACATACCATATCCTAGTTTTTAGAGTGACAGCAAATTGAAAATCATGATTTTACTTTGTAAAACTATACAATCATGGCTGCGCCATGCCTATAGCACATCATACAGTCCAGGCAGCTAATGTCTATAAGAAGTCATTCACCACAATATGTGTTGTGAGCAGTAAGATCAAAGAGGGATGGAAAGAAAGCTGCTTTTTTCCTAATATAGAAAATTAGATCCAATTTAGACAATAAAAAACTAAATAAGGAAAGTCGCTAGCCAGCGAAGACTGATTTATTCATATCCTTCTGAGATCCTGTTTTTTAATATATTAATTAAAATGTAAATTTAACAGGAAGAAGTTGGCAAGGTCACATCCCCAGACATGTGATGTCATCTTAAAGCCCTAACTGTCCTCTTTAAGGAATAATAGGACACAATAAAGTAGCACGTATAGTATGAGATATATTTGCAAAAACATAAATGAATAAAAATGAATTAAAAAACGGATTGCTGGATCTCAGGAGGATAGCAAAGTTAAACACAGTCGAACACCTGTTGGGTGCAATTAATTTGTTTAAATCCAGACCTTTGCATACCCCAATATATACATATGACGTGTGCTTTGCATATGCTCCAAAGCCTTTTTCTCCTCTGCAAGTTAAATCAACATGAGCATATTCTCATGTGGTCGGGATCTACTGTAGGTCTCCTTACACTTTGAAGTGAACATCACCCTATGATTTATAGCTTTGTCAGAAGTTATGCATGGACATAAATATTTAACTTTGCTTCATTTTTCTCTCCAAAAAACAGAACTGTACATTTAAATTACTGTGTTCCCCCCAATATCAAAGTCTCTGTTACACCATTGTATTGTTCTGAAAGGAAAAATAAGAAATGTACTGAAGTCTTGTAGTGCCCAAAGTAACCACAGTAGGGCAGTCTTCAAGCTTCTATGTAAAGCCAACATACACACATCCAAAATTAGCGGGAAAATGTTGTTTATTTCGGCTGGAAAAAATGGCAGATTTATACGATCCAGTCATCATCATAAATCAAACATACTGTAAATCTCTTTGATTACACCACACTATATCTGCATTCAGATCAGATCATTCAAGCTTAATCATTACTGTTGAGCATGCACTGGTCTACCCGAAGAGTCAAACTCAAGGTACGGGTTAAACATTTCAACATTTCCCAAGAGAAAATCAGTCAGAAATATAATTGACAGAGGGAGAATAATTCATGTGCTTGTTTCCTTGTATAATTACACAGTCAGTATACAACTTGGCACTAACAAATTCTACAACAGCCACCCCTGATCATCACATCTGTAACCACACCCTAGATGGTCCCTCCCTAAACTTTAATAATATCTGCACAGATCCTGGTCAAGCATATAATAATCTCTTACGGTCAGTCTGTTAAAGTTGGGCTTCCAGTGTGAGAGATCCAGATACATCCAGAATGCAGCTATACAATGTGTTTCCACATGTACCAACATTCCCATATCTCACTGCCTTAAAGTCCCGTCACTGGCTACCAACAGGGACTCAATACCAATCCCTGGTATATCGGCGTTCTCAACTGCCTGAATCACAGCCCCCTCCCCTACAGGCCATCAGCAAACTATCGACCTCGTCTTGGTGTTGACTAACTAAAGAATCAAAGATTCTCTTTTCAAGCATGGCCCCTTACTGGTGGAATAACCTCTTTTGAATTCCTTCTGATCCGAAACTAGTTGTCTGGTTCTGATTAAAACATGCATTTCAGTCATTTTCAGATATTTAACTCAAAACTTAAGCTATCAAATTGCAGACAGACACAAAAACTACTACTACTACTACTAATAATAATAATAATAATAATAATAATAATAATAATAGAAAGACTGCTGATGAATAATAAAAGGACAAGGAATCCAAGGCAGCTGCACACTATACCTTTAATAGTTTCAGCAAACCCTTAAAGCCACAAACACATGCATTAAATCACCTGGCTAAGGAGGATACAGTAATAACACTGACCTCACCAGAACTACAATAAAACATACTCAGCCTCAAATCTGGCCCTCGATTCCAAATCCAGGCCTTGTTTTCAGGTCTACCAGGTGGTTAGTTTAATAATGACTGATTCTGATTGGTCAGAGGCTTCACACCTGGCTCACGGTTAAGGAAGGCTGAAAAATCAGCAGTGCTTGGCCCTTGAATAGCCCTGAACCAAACATAAATATTTTGAAAATTGCCTGTAATTATGAAGTTTAAGTGACCTGATCACGGTTTATTTAATCATTTGGATCTAGTGGTTGAGGTCTTCATTAGCATTTTTGTATTAACATAATATTTAGTGCTAACAGTGGTTAGCACTCCTGCCTCACATCTCTGGGACCAGGATTTGAGTCTCTGCCCTGGATCCATATGTGTGGAGTTTGCATGTTCTCCCCATGTCATTGTGGGGTTTCCCCCCTACGGTCTAAAAACATGCTGAGGTTAATTGGAGTTACCAAATTGCGCATAGGTGTGCATATGTGCAAGTGTGCCCTGTGATGGGCTGGTGCCTCGTTCTGGGTTGTTCCCTGTCTTGCACAAGTAGCCTCCAGGACAGACCCAAGACCCTGAATAGGATGAGTGGGTATAGAAAATGGATGAATGGAAGTTTCAGAGTACCAGCAAAAAACACCCTGAACTAAACTGGTTCTCCCACAACACCAGTTCTTCTGGCCAACAATCCCTAGTGCTTTGGACTGCTGAGTGAAGGGGCGACTCCAGGATGAAGTGTCCATTGAAACAAAATGCCAGGTGAAGAGGAATGGAGAAACCGGGACACAGGAACCAAGAAAATAAGGACAAACACAGGCAAAGCTGAAGAAGGCACTCCAGAAAACTGCCATATTGACTCAGGTAAACCAAAACTGTAAACCTGTATCATGAAGTTGGACTTTTGGATTAACTTGTTGGATTTAAGGTAGTCTGTGCAAAATGTAAGTGAACAAAGATGAAGTCCATTTAAACTGGGGGACCTTAAATCTTTCAAGTTATCTAGCTGACCAACAGATCTCGCTGTGTTATACAGAACCCTAGATAAGAATCCTGGCTAGGCAAGACCACAACCAGGAACTAAAAAGACACAGGAAGCAGAATAGCGTACCTGAAGGCAAGGGACCGGCAAATAAGAACTACAGACTTGGAAACAAAGTTGCAGGGGATAAAAACAGCCCTGGAAACAGGACTTGGAGCTCAGCCTTAAGCTCAAAGTCTGAGTTGGAAGCTAAGCCTGCTGCTCAGTCTAAATAGCACGTGAAGTCCCTACTTCAGGTTCCAGGCTGAGTCAATAATGAACAATTTGTCGGTGCTGGTATAATACAAGGCCTTAATTTTTGCAGCAGTCTTATTTCAGCAGATTTGTGCCTTGTATTTGTGTCTAACGGAAGTAATCTTAGAAGAAGCAGTAAGCAACATCTATTATCTGGAAGCTCTAACACACACAAGAATGCAGACATGTTTATTCATAGCTTTAGAATAACTCCGCAGTCTGAGATCTCACCCTTGCTATTTCTACAGCAGAATTTCTTCTGGGAATTGAGGCTTGATGTGTAAGGCATCTTGCCTTAAGGAGAGACTTGAACAATAACAAACTATGGTCTACTTGTTTTTAATTCATAAAAAACCTTTAAACGCACAATGAGCACACAATGAAATAAATAGAAACTATTTCTCTGCACCTGGTTCACAAATTTCTTTGAAGAACTTCCATCGATCCCTACTTCTAATCCCTTATCCTGGTCAGGACACACAACTGGGGTATGACCTGGATGGGATGAGAGTCCTCTTTGAGGAACTTCTACTGTACTGACTTCTATGATGATTAAATAAATAAACTGATTAACTAAAGCTAAAAAAATAGCATAAATGTCATGTTTCTCTGCCAAAGCCGTTAAAATCAGCCCAGCTCAATGACTCACACATTGTACTATAACTCCCCCACAAAAACAGAACTCAGAGAGCAAACTTCCTGCAGCCTTATCTGCAAGGCCTGGCAGGCAAATCATGGGATGTTTAATAAAATATATACACATGTGGTCCAATTTCATGATATTATCTAGTGAACTGCAGAAATAACATTTGTATAGCAAAGGAGACTGTACTAAAACTGTGGTCAGCACACCAGCACACTGAGTTTATAATAATAATAATAATAATAATAATAATAATAATAATAATAATAATAATGATTAGTAGTAGTAGCAGTAGTAATAGTAGTAGTGGTGGTAGTAGTAGTAATAGTAGTAGTGGTGGTAGTAGTAGTAATAGTAGTAGTGGTAGTACTGTAGTAATAGTAGTAGTAGTGATAGTGGTAGTAGTATTAATAGTAGTAATAGTAGTATTTGATTAAAGATTTATACTGTCAAATATCATACACTTCCAGCTGTAGAAAAGGTCCAGGCACCTTGCATTTTAGATTTTTTGAACATGCAAAAAATATCTTTTATTTAAAGCACAGGAAAGTAATTACTCAGGAGATGACCTGACTTTGCAGGCTATGAGCTAAGCAGCTAGGCCAAGGCAAGATTTTCTCTTACTAGCACACTGGACTGTTTACAGTGAATTTCTCTTTGTGGATAGGAGGGCCAGATCCTTTGACTGCTTTCAGAATAAACCTTAAATGGTCACTTGGCAGGATGGGGTTAATTCATCATCTCCTTCTGCAGAACAGGAGAGGCAGGAGTAGTCCGCATGAATGAGGTCCAACACAACAAGTAATGACAAAGAAATTTCACAGATTAGGCTCTCTCTCTCTCTCTGTATATATACATATATATATATATAATCTTGTTATTTGTTTACTGGTTCCTCTGCAGTCCTTGATATTATAATATCATAATAGATACTTCATTGATCCCCATGGGGAAACTGTCTTTACATCTCTCTCAACTTGCTCTTTGTAGAGTAAGCTGTCTGCAAAGGGCAGCCACCCGTAGGGGTGCCCAGAGAGCTGAGGTTAAGGGCCTGGCTCAAGGACCTGAAGACATGCTGAGGCTGGGTTTAAACCAGCAACCTTCTAATTACAGTAACACACTCTTAGCCCACTGAGCCACACGCTGCACACTAATAAAATATTGTTTTCAACCAGCAATAATCATGCCTTGGTTAAACCTCATAGGCTACGATCTTGCCATTGTGCAAAGACAATTGCAAAGACATATTAAGCAGAAACCAGGGTACAGGGCTAGAAATTCTGCCCCCCGACAAAGTGTTACTTTGGACCCCCTCTTGGGTTGGCACTTTCCATCTGAAGAATAGATAGAACTTGGGGGGGTGTTGGGAGGTACTCGGTAGATTTTGCTGAGTGGGCTCCCCCCCAGTACATTTTACAAATAGGGGAAAGGGGTTAACCCCACATTAGATTTTGCTATGTGGGGAGCCCCTCCCAACAGGGATTTATTGGCAGTCTGCCAGGGTATCGATGCCCCTCTGACACCCTTTGGTCTGTAATATTGCAACTAATCACAGCGTCTGAGTTTAGAGTTTAGTCTTTCTGGGGTCTATTCACAGGACTGCTTACCTAGAAGGGCTCTTTTGGAAATATTTGGACACAACTTGCTTGCTTTCTGCTTATTGTGAAAAACAGAAAACCGCATGTTAAGAATGAGTTCTTAACTGGTGAAATCTAAGCTCACATGACACATGATGAAGGCTCATGGTTTCTTCCTTAATTGCTTCCATGACAGCCTTGTAATCGTCGGGGAACAGACTGAGTAGGAAATCTTTTTTTAATTATGACATCAGCACCAACAATGCATTAAAGTCCTGTCTGGCTAGGAAGGTAAAATGAGCGACTGGTGTGCTAAAACATTTTCCCAACAGTTCTCAAGACACAAAGCTGAATAGTTTACTGTTGTGGTTTGCTGTTGTAACAACATCCTAGTCTCCCATCTTGACAAATGCATACCCTCTGTGCTCAAGATAGATATTCATGTTGGCTAGTTTAGCTATCACCATGTAAAGTGTATCCAACAAGCTCTTGTTGGGTGAGATGGTTGTGAAATAACAGCTACAAGCAAAATGATAAATACCCACTTTGCCGGCAAGGAGCTTAAAAAAAATACTATTTCAAGCAGTTCAAGCTTGTGTGGCAAACCTGAAAAAAATATACAGTAACCTGTTCATAATATGAAT